GTGACAAGCAAAACTCATTTAATTACGAGTAAGACTTGAAGATCATCTTCGTGTCACTGGGGAATGATTTGTGAGCGCAGAAAGCACACAGACAGCAGAGACAGAGGAAGTAGCAAGTAGGAGGATCAGTGGAAGGAGAGTTGCAGATCAATTGCAATATGTGGGTGGAACGCTGCTGGAACTGGAAAACTGGAAACCCATCTCTATTGGGAGTTTTGAAGTTTGAAGCAAAACCCGGCAGTGATTTGATCGCATTTCCAGGCAATTGATATGCGAACACTTCCTCTTTCTGGAGCGTAGATATGGATGTATCTATATGTATTATATATATATACAAATATTGTTAATTACAACAGCAACAAGATGCCGCATTGCATTAACAGAAATCAAACATGCAACGCAGCAAGAGGCAGCCGACCAGACAGATGGATGGATGGATGGATGGATGGATGAATGGATGGAAGAGCGCGCTGCCAAATAGTTGCAACATTTTCAATTATGAAATGTTTCTGCTAGTGCTGCTGCTGCTGCCAGTGGCTTCTTCTTTCAGTTTTCGAACCAATTTTTCATTGGGTTGTGCAGTTTTTGGTTCGTTTTTGATTATATAAAGCGAGCGCAAATCATAAAAGGCACCTGAAAAGCTGCGCCAACAGTTTTCTGTATCTTGCAGATACGAAAATTGCATCGCAGCGCGTGCCGCCAGTTAAAGTGTTGGCTCATCGCCGTGCCATGGCAGAGGAACTCAGCCAGAGAGGTGTTGTTGGGAGCTGCGACTGGCTCCAAGAGTGGCGGCTCAGCCAGCGGCTGAACGGGGGGGCTGGCTGTTGTTTTTATTAATTGCACGGCAGCCACTGGCACATTCGGAGGAGCAGCAGCAGCTGCCACGCCACCACCTCGCACTCTGGAGGCGGGCAATGGAGAGTGGCTGCCTCTGCCTCGTTGCTTCTGTTGGTTGCGCATGCGCCACAAATTTGTTGCATTTACGCGAGATATTTATTATGATTTCGCTCGGTTTTTGTTTTGTTTGTCTTATGAATGGTACGGCCAAATGGAAATGGAAATTGAAGAGGAAAATTGCAAGATGCATTTCTTAACAGCTCCACTCGCGGCCGTGGAAGTTGCTTTTCTATTACTTTTGGCACTACTTAGCCAGGGGTCACACATCCCTAGAGTAATCTCTTTCCCATTTGTACAAGTCCCCCCCCCCCACATTGTATTAATTTTCAGCTTATTTTCGACTCGACATTCTACCTATGGGAATGTTGGGGGTCAGCAAACCCAACCCGAAGATAGCTGACCAAAGCGTTAATCTCGTTCCCAGCGGTGTTCCACTTACACATGTCCATGTCCCTGCCCCTTTTACCGCTATTTCGAGGCTGGCCAGGCGCACGAGCAACTCTCCAAAAATGACAATTATTTGTATTATCTGCATATCCGCTCAATCATATTATATGTATGTATATGTGCATATGCATGTGTATCAACATGTGCGGCAGGCTGGCACCAGCCGGACAGCCGTGTTATCCGAGGCCAGCTCTTACGTCAGGAGGCTGCACCGCACCGCAAAAGCTCACCGATCAGCCGAAAAAGTGTTCGTTCCCGTTAGAATGCTCCCATACTCATAATTGCGCTCAGACTCAGCTTTCTCCTCTCTTATACCCTTTAGGCGGAGTCCAAAGGCTTGCAGCATCTGTTGGCCTCAACAATAATTCCACATTTGTGTTACATTTTCCCCATGCTCATTCGTAGTCCCATGCCAAATCAAAGCTCTTCCATTGTGTCCATATGGAGTGTGCCTGCATAGCTAATGCACTCCGATGCAGTGTAGTGTGTGTGTGAAATTGCGGCAAGCAAAGTTCATCTTTCCTTCTGTTCTTCGGTCTCTCTCTTTGGGGTTCGTTCGTTCGTTTTTGCTGACTCTCCCGGTGTCCAGTGCACTTTTATCGAGAGTGTGAGAAGAAGCTCGCGCAAGTCGGCCGAGCGGGCAGTGGGAAGAGGGGATGGAGGTGGTCGTGCTGGGCGGGATTTACAGCTATCAACTATCGCCATAATCGTGATGCTCTCTCTCTCTCTCGCTCTCTTCCTCTCAATCGATAAGCCATTGCTGGCTGGCTGGCTGGCTGGCTGGCTGGGTGGATGGGTGATTCGGTTTTGTCGATTTCCTGCTTCACACATTAACAGTCTTGGGGCGTCCATCGCTCCAAAGGGCGGAGCCCCAAAGAGTTCTGCGCGGCCTCCACTTCGGGCTCGAACTGGGGACAGCTGCCTTTTTTTTCGACGGTCACGTTCTGTACATAAATATCCATAAAAAGTAATGCTCACATCCGTCCGGATGAGATCCGTTCAAGCAAGAGCACCACATCACATAGAGAGAGAATCGACAGAGAGCGAGGCGACACAGAGGCGATGATAGTGGATGGGGATGGGTTAGGAGAGGCGTAGAATTGAATCTTGCAACACTTTCGTTAGTTTAGCCGTTCTCAAGCCATCAGCCATCAGCCATCCCGCCGCTCTATCATAAATAATATTGCGATAAGATAAAGACTCGTAAAAATAAGTCAAAACCTTCACACGATCAGAGGGAAATCAAATAACGATACACAGAGAGACGAGAGACACACGCACACCACACACACTCTCAGCTCAGGGTACACACACCTGAGAGATGCCCCTCAGATATCAACCACCGCACCGTGGCATCCAAAACTCCTCTCCTCTCCTCTCAGCTCTCTCTCACCTCACCTCACCCAAACGAAAACCCAACCGAAACGGAACCAAACCAAACCAAACTGAAGCGAAGCAAACCGAAATTCGATCGAGTTGCGGCGCTGAAAAAGTTTATCAGCCAGCACGCAGGTGTCCACATCAGCACAATCCATCCATCTATCCATCCATCCGTATCCGTCCATCCATCCATCCATCCATCCATCCAGAGGGTCCAGAAAACACACACAAACAGAACCGAACAGAACCGAACAGAATGTGTCCCAGAGTGTGTTGTGATTTCGGTTTATTGCGGTTAAGTTGATTCAATATTGACTCCGCTTATCGAGCACCCACAACAGTGAGGCATGTAGCAGGAACGAGGAACGAGGAACGAGGAAGATTCACATTCCCAGAGGGTGTTCGTGGGACATTCCAGGGGATAAGCACAGTACCAAAGGGTTCGAGCAGATGGAGACTTCCAAGGATAACTTTCGCTGCTCAACCTCTCAGCTAGCCCAGACCTTAGAGCGACTCAATTGCCCCCAAAAGCTGGTGGAGGCTTCTTCTGTTCAATCAACTGTGGGCTTGCAAGGTTTGCGGACTCTTTGACGCGACTGGCAGAACGCCTTGAACGCAATTCGAGCCGCATGCAATGGCTCGTCCATGCCCAAGTCCAACACACGGGCACATCCGCCCACATGGGAGACCATCAGAGTAGCAGTAGCAGTGGCAGTAGCAGTGGCAGTGGCAACAAGAAGATGCCACCTTGAGAAGAGCCAGCGAAGCAATCAGCGGCGAGTCAAGGCAGTCAATGTCGTGCTGAGCGGACCCACATCCTCCCTGCCAATTAATAATATTGTTATTCCAAAACTGTGTTTGTACATAAATAATTCAATTAGCCAATTATTGGCCCAAAGAAATTAGAGTCGAATGGCTGATGCCCTGACAAATGCGCAGCCAATGAAGTGGAAGATCGAGGAAGGCGCTGCCCAGGAGCTGCGTGGCATCAGTGGAAGAAATCCCTCCCAGTGCCCAACAAACCACAGAGCACAGCTACCCACACTTCGCATTGTGTGTGAGTGTCTGCTAATCCAATCTAATGGCAGCAATCAAGGTGATAAAATCAATGTTGCGGTTATTAGAGCGCTCACCCGGAGGAGGAGGAGGAGGAGTGCGAATGCAAAAAGCGCAAATAAAATCAAATAAAATCAAATAAAATGAAATAAAATAAAAAGAGAAGCCACCAATTAACCGATCGCACAACCCCATAGACCTACAAATATATTTTCCACCTATGCAGATGGGGGAATGACTACGAGTGACTACGATGGTGGTGTGGTGTGGTTGCTGGTGTGGTTGGTGGTGTGGTTGGTGGTGTGGTGTGGGGCCAACAAACCCATTTAACCCACAACACAAGAGACACAGAAGTGGCCAATGTCGTGGCTTGTCTTGGCTTGGGAGTGCGTCCGTTTAATTATGGAAAATGATCATGAGAGAGAGCATTTCCTGTCTCTGTCTCTCTTTCTCTCTGCAAAGCCAGCGACAGGGAGCAGGGGCAGAACCCAGACCAGACCAGACCAGACCCGTTTCCATATGCGACGAGCAGTATCTGTGCAATGTCTTTCTTCAATTCTTCAGTTTACCTGACTGTCTCTACTCCTTCTGCTGTTCGTTCTTTCACTTTGATAATTTCTCCGCACATCGGACAATGGCCATGTCCGAGACTCCACTCCGCCTGGCTATTGTCTGGCTTTTACGAGCCCGAATAGTTGGGCGGGCCTCTGTGCTGCATCGATTTGCTCTCAGAATTTTAAGTACTTGCTTGCGAGTACCAGCCGGTACCACACGGCGATCGATCAGTTAGTCGTTGCAGAGAGTCCCTCGATCTGGCCTGGCCGGGCCCGATCCCGTGTTAACTGTTGCTCGTGCTCGAATAGATCACATCACAGCAGATCGATCCGTAGATCACCCACCCACACACAAACAAACGAACCAAACCTCGAGAGATCCCGTGCCGGGAGGCACGTGATTGTACTGCCGATCAGAATGCTGAATGACAAGAGGCGCTTCTGGTGGTGGTCACTGATCCTAGACAATAATGCACAAACTGCTGGAGATTCATTCCAAAAGCCCTAAAAATGCTTCAGAATGATCGGAGCTGACTCTTCTGTCATCGCATGGATGCGATGATTCCTTCCCACTCTGCTTTAGAGAATCCAAAACCAAGTAGAGCGGGAGATTCGTTAGAAATGTATTTCATATTTCCACAGTGAGTTTCGTGAGACTCAGTAGGCTGTGACATCGATTGACAGCACACAAAAGGTGCTAGGAAATATCTGGGAGCAAATATTCAGTTCGAACTCACAGCTCACAGGCGATAAAGCAAATTTTTAAATTACACAAATAACAAATTTTTATTTAGTTTTTTTTTTTTTTTGGAACATTTGTAAGTGAGAAATATTCCAAATGAATATAAATAATAATAGCTAACAATACTTCCTGCAGTTTCTCAGAATGCTCAACTGAGAATGCCAGTTCCACCACCACCACCACCACAACAATAACAAGAATAAAGAATAAAATATTGTAAAGCTCGGTGCCCTTAATGGAAAATGCAACACCACATGGATGCCACTTGCATCCGGCGCATTGCATTGCAGACACACGTTTTAACCTTTAACCTTTAATCTTTAATCTTTAATATGGGTAAGTGAAGAGATTTGAATCGGAATTAAATGAATGCATTTGAATTGTGAACTCTTTGCAGCTTCGTTGCCTCAAAATACCACCACAACAGCGCCGGGAGACTCACTGCCAAAGTCTCCACGGCGCCAAGAAGGGATCGACAGCATCGATGGAGGCACCCACAGCTCCCCCTTGGTGCGGTACTTCTACTTCAGCTGTCTCCCACATTAAGGATTACAGGGGACTACTTCGAGCCTTCGACATTGCGGCTGGGCCGCAATGCCGCAGGACAACAAAATAATAATAACTGCGATGAAATGCGGACCATCTCCACTTAGACAATAAATGCAACAAAAAAAAATATAACACTAGATGACGTAGGCCTCTAAGCCTACTGATTGCCATTCAATTTAGCATAGAAATCTGGGGGAACAATTTAATGTTGAGAGGCATGGACTTTGTGGGCTGCAGCTTGGATGTGGAATTGGCATCCAGAGGAGTGTCCACTGCCTGATCCAAGGAGCGCACAGAGCGACCCTCGAACGTGTCCGACATGCTCGTAAACCTTGAGGCTGCTTTTCTGAGGAGCATCATTCATCCGAAGAAGCAGAAGCAGAAGCAGAAGCATTTCCTTTTGGCTGGAGTTGTCAATGGCAGACATCGCTCTTCGAATACTAATTTCGAGCGAGGATGGAGGATGGAGGCGGGAGCCGCAAGATGGGAGGTGGGAGGCGGTAGAGCTGCCATTAAATTGGTACTTGATGTGGATGAGAAGAGAATGCGAGAGAGAGATAGGTTGCTGCTGGAATGTCTCTCCACATCCACATCCACATCCACATCCATCTCGGGCTACAGCTACAGCTCCAGCATTTGCCATTTTTTGAGGTCGCTGCTGCGTCTCTCTCGCTTATTTAATGACTTTCCAGGCAGCCGGGGCGTGTTGCGATGCATACTAATTGAGCTGTAGATGGATGATCTGGGCATCCGATGATCATGATGCGTTAGGTTAGTTAGGTAAGGCCCCAAGCAGCCAAGCAGCAGAAGATGATGTCGTCCGTTGTCGTTGTGCGTCCGCCCACGCCACAGCTTGACGCTCCGTGGGAATCCGTTTAAAAGGCAACTACAGCAAGCGGCTACCAACCAAGCAACAACAACAACAACAACAAAAAACAAAACAAAAACCTCTACAAATTTCGGTCGAAAATGTATTTTATGGTCAAAACGTGAGGATGCCACAGGCTGGAGAGGGAAGTGCTGCTGCTGCTGCTGCTGCTGTAGGCCAAGGGGCTGGCTGGCTGGCTGGCTGGCTGGCTGCTGTTTGGGCTTATTTATATGCCAGCCGGATCATCATCAATGGCCCTCAGATATGCGCGCACTCGGAATCGGACTGGAGCTGGGACTTGGACTTGGAATCAAGAGTACGAGTCCGAATTGGATTTGGATTTGGTTTTGGTTTTGCTTTTTGGCATCTGGCATTCACTCGTGCTGTGACATAATCCATCAGACACAGACAGTGACAGACGGACAGCAGCCGGAGACGCACTTGAACCACAATCCAAACGAATCCAAACGAATCCACAATCCACAATCCACAATCCAATTCCTCGACAGCAACAACAACATCCTGAAAGAGGTCAAGTGATTGCCCAATGCTGCTGCTGCTGCTGCTGCTGCTGTTTCTCATTGTGTTTTCTCCTCAGGTGCGAGCTGCGGACTCTCTTTGACTCTTTGACTCCCCCGTCCCCTTTGAAATATGAGACGAGTGCACATTGCCGTGTATTTTTGTATGCATGATCATCGACACCAGACTCAGCCTCGGACTCGGACTCGTACTCGGACTAGACCCTGCCCCATCCGATCCTCAGTTGGAGCCTGTAGCTGAGAGCCCACCTATACGTGATCGGTTACAGTTTGCATCCCGTTCATTGGCATCCTGAGGAAGTCAGGTGCCTAATTGTTTCCGTTTCTCCCTCTCCCTCTCCCTCTCACCCTCTCTCTCTCTCTCTTTGTCCTTTATTGATCTCTTCTCGCTTCGCTCCATTGTGTGGTTCGTTTTTGTCACCTGATCCCATCGATAAGCTGATCTCATGATCTGCCTCTCCTCCTCCTCCCCCTTCTTCTTTTGTTACTTTTTTTCGTTTTCTGTTTTTTAATTTTTCTTGCCCTGAGAATGAGCGTCCATGGGGTTTCGTTTGCTCCTGGTTTTCGGTCGCTTGTCTCCTGGCTCTCGTGTGTGGGATCGTTGAATAATTGGATAAGTTTTCTGAGGAAATTTCAGACTCGAGTTCCACTCGAAAGAGATACTCCTGGAATGTGTCGAGAATCCCTCAAGGAAAAGTCAAACTTCAATGCATTGGAAATGCTCAGAGCCAAGAGCTGGCATTCAGCAAAGTTGTTGATATTCAAAAGCAGATCCCAACGAGGGCATACCCAGTGGTGGCACTGGGTGATGATATGTATCTTTGGGCAATTGGAGCACAACTGCGACCCCAGTGATAAGGTGGTGCCAGTTGGGATTGGTTTGGGTGCTTTGTATCTAGTTGTGAGCTCTTCCCTTGTCCACCGTCGCACCGCATGCTAATTGAATCAAATGTAAACGCATTTCCACTTAATTAGCATAAAATTAACTTAATAATCTTTGCGCCAATTGCGAGCAAGCACCCTCCCCTCCCCTCCGCCTCTATGCTGTGGCCGGAGCCCGCGAGGGATCGTGGGAAATGCTTGGATTAAATACATTTTCAATTATTTTATCAGACGCAAACGTTTTGCGGCTGTGGTTTCATTTTATTACATGACATATTTGTTTTTGTTTTTGTTTCTGTTTCTGTTTCTCTTTGTTTTTCTTTTTGGTTTATCAACAAAAACAGTGGGCTAGAAGCTCCACTTCTTGTCACATAATGTGGCGCAGCAATTAAACGAAACGAAACGAAACGAAACGAAATTAAGCCAAAGTCCCCCCAGCGCACTTTGCATACCAATTGCTCCGATTTGCCAGAGAGTGATATTTGGATGGGGATGGGGGATTGGTATTTCGATTTAAGGCGAAAACGAGAGTGGAAAGAGCGAGGTCAGAGCACACCACACCACACCAAAGTGACCCTCCCCTCCTTGCTGCTGCCGCAGAGCAAGTTCCGCAGAGCCACTCTGGGCACAGGGCTAGGGGTCATCACTTTTAATGATGCGCGGATTTGTCTCTTGATCATGTCGCTGGCTGGTCGTAAAAACTCAAGGATCGTCGGCCAAGAACACGGTTATGGTCTGGGAAGGGACAGGGGCAGGGGCAATGCAGCAACGGGGTAAGGTCAGTGCCAGCCAGCCGGGTGGGCTTCGGCTTCGTCTGTCGGCTGTCGGCTGCTCTTTGGTGTGCGACGAATATGACTAAGATCCGGAGATCTCCGCTTCCCTCTCTTCAGTTACTCTTTCGTCGCTCTGTTATCACATCTCGTCAGATGTGTCCCCCCCCCTCTGGAACCCTCTCTGTGGGCAAATATTAAACATCTTTGGGCGGAGAGCTTTGACGCCGTTTGCCGTTGCCTTGTTTGCCTTTGGCCTTTTGCCTTTGATGTTTTTATCTGTTCCGCGGTGAGATGCTCCACATCCCAGCACATCATCGCAAAGCGATCTCCTCGAGCGATCTCGTAATCGCCATCCGGGCCGGAAGTGGTCGCCTGCCAAGCCACCAAGCCACCAAGCAAACAGCAACAAACACACAAATAAATGGTTTATGGTGAATGGTTTATGGATCATGGATAGGTGCAAAGTAGTGCAGCAAAAGCTTCATTTCGGGCGAAGACATCTATTCCTCTTCCCTTCTCTTGCTTATCAGCGGTTAGGCAATTGTCGCACATCCACAATTCATGGACTACAGCCGCAGTCAGTGACAGAGCCCAGAGCCCAGAGCCCAGAGCCCAGAGCCCAGACTGGAGTCAACTGGGTCAAAATCAGCATACAAATCCGCAACTGATGTCGCGGATTTGATCGTATCGTACCCGTACCCGTACCCATACCCATACCCATACCTGTAACCGTATCGGAGTGGATTGTGGATGGGTTGGATCCAATCCCATCGCGTGATTGGGTAGCAAGTAAGTGCCGGGGAACTTATTGCAATTGTAATGCGGCTGAATATTGATGAGAGAGGTTTGCTCTTGGGGTTGAGATTCGAGGGGATTCGATTGGATTGGATTGGATTGGATTGGATCCGATGTGCGGACAGACACGTGGAGGAACCTCACAGCGAAGCTGACACCCAAACAAAAGTCCCATTTAAATTGTTAAACACGCGGGCGCACTCGTCGTATTCCATTGAACTTCGACTGAAAGCGTATAAATTGTCCCCCCCTCCGATTGAAGAACAAAGTTAACCCATGACTGAGGCCCTAAATGAATCTTTAGTCTCTGGGCAGTTGGCGGAATGGGCATGGAATGGGACCACAAATACTTCCGCTCCGACTGGCAGATAGCCGCCTGCTTACTCACTGCTTCCTGTGGTGCCACATTTGAATGTTGACCTTTGCCACAGATAAAGACTACATTTAGGAGACAAATACGAGCAAAACTGTCACAACAGAAGCAGCAGCAGCAGCAGCAGCAGCGGCAGCGGCAGATCCTGGACTACCTGATCCTCATTAGGCAATTCACTTCCATTTCCGTTTTGCCGGACAGATAACTACTGTTGCGAGATAGATACATTTGTGTACATACACAGCTCTCAGATACATTTCCATTAAGGTGAATCGGTGCTCGCTGCCTGGTGCTTATCTGCCACACGAAAAACCCAAAGCCAAAATTAAGTATTCAATGAGCAATTAAAACCCAACGAGAAGATCAATCTCTATCTCTGTCCCTCCGTGTGTCTCCCTCTCTCTCTCTCTTTATGGGTGTACCTGAAAGATTTCAAGAAGAAATCCAAGTGCCAAGCCATGCTGACAATGGCGAGGCATGGCAAAGCATTTTAATATAGAAATTTTCTTATGATTTTAGGCCAACGGCCTACAACGGCCTCTGGCTCTGTCTCAAGACAGCAGCAGCAGCAGCAGCAGCAGACTGTAGCCTGAAGAAGACCCAAACGGAGAGCCAAAAGTCTGCAGAGCTCTCGAGCCATTGAACAGCCATCGATGGGGCCCACGATTCATTGTCCATAGAAGGGCTCATGTAGTCGCAATCCGTAATCCCCCTCGCCGAATGGATTGGCTGACAGCGGTTTTGTTTTGTTTTGTTTTGTTTTTTTTTGGTGGTGGCTGGTCAAAAAGAAAGTCTCTGGCCGGTGGCTTTTGGCTTCCATTGAAGATTGGCGGCGCAGCATTGAGGCAGCGGAGCCACAGCTCTCATGTTGCTGCCACACAGAGTTGACACCGCT